CACCCCCCGCCCCGCCCCTTCTTAATTTTCTCACTTGTCCGTAAGCCTTGAGATATGCTGCTCCTCAGACCACGGGAGGGGCTTAGTCTCCAAGTGTATCTTATTTTTCCCAGCTCTACCACTTGGTCTAAAAAAAAGATATTATTTCTACCTGCAAACTTTGTACTGTGCTAACACTTTTTTATTTAAAATATACTTGCATTATGCAGAGAACATTTGCCCATGTGCATGATCATATATTGTATATAATATTGTATTTTATGTTATGTCCTACCCTCTTGGAGAAGAAACACTCTTTTCCCTGAAAGCAAACATACATGTTATAGATAAGAAAACTATTTTTTTGTCCTAATCTTTATGAAATAATTCCTCAGTGATTTTTGTACACCAGTTCAGAAGAGCACAGACAAGTAATGTTAGGAAGCTGAGATTCATTGAATATCAAAACTCATCAAAGCAAGTTACTCATCAGGATGATAAAAGAATGTAATTGCTCATTTTGGCTTAGCTTAAGATCTGTCATTGAATTCTTTAACAATGAAAGCTGTTTTGAACATGCTAAAAGAGATTGGAATGATCTGTGTTTAAAATACTAAGAACTGAGAAATAATGTTGCTAAATGCTTCTCAAATTTTAAAGTGTATATAATTGGTCAAAAGAATCAAGTTGTGTCTGTAGCTTATATGAGACACTAATATTTTGGCCATTCAACATAATGAATTTTATTTGACAGAATGATCTATTTGGTTTTTTAGGGGAAACTTATTGTATGAAGCTAACTTTGAAAAAGGTGGCTTGGCACCTAGCTTAGCTAAGAAAATTTAAAATAGATGTTGTTGCTCTGAGATTAATTATGTTAAAAATTGAGATACACAAAAGATACGGTGTTTGTTTATGCTGCTAAACTGTATCTGCAGCTATCCTCCTTGAGTCACTGAGTATGATGAATGAAACTGGGTAACTAAGGGTGTATTGAGCTTTACAACTATTTAGTGCATCAAATTGATCTGTTTATGTTGTTTCTGTATTTTATCTCTGAAAATGTGTGTTTTCTCACTCACATTTGGTAGTATATTATTACTCGTTATAAGGAAATCTGAGTTTTAAAAGTATAGGCCTCTTGCTTGTATTACAAAAGGTGGCATTTTACAAAGATACTGTATTGATACGTATTTTTGCTTTAAGATTGTCAAAAGATTTTGAACAAAATCAAGCCACGGATTTTTGGCATTTGTTTATGTGACCATCTTACTACTTTATCCAGGTTTTTGATAAAGAATCGCGAGGCTTAAAAAAACATTTATTGAAGGACCGTGCATTATTTTTAAGCCTAGCATTTTAAGCATCAACTTTTTTATTAGAAGTTTAAGGATGGTACTGAAATTTGGTGTTGTGAAATAAGTGAGACTGGTGAATACTGATTATTGATTGCACTGCTTTCACCAGTCCAGAGTTATTTTTATGTTAAAGGTGACCATTAAAGGTGACCTTTCTTATAACAGTAAAAAGGTAAAACCCTCATTCTGATTTAATGGTGATTCAGGAAGTAAATGATCAGAAAATGTTTGATTCAAAGAAAACTTTCTGGAGAACTATTGCCAGGCAATTATTTATGACACCATGAATAAACAATTTCATGGGAAAACTTTATTTTGGACAAAACAGAAAAAATGCAGCACACCTTGAATAAGGTTTCAACCCAGCCCCTTAGTTCTCTTTTATGGGTTCTGATATTCATTTGGAACAAAAGGAAGTGTAGCCAAAATCATGTGCAGACACTGACAAATAAATGTTAGGGGTATTCTCTTTACGTGTAACTTGCAGTTGTAAGCAAACCTTGGGACTTGTATCAAATATTTTAATCCTAGTTCTACACTGGGGAGTCTTAGTTTTTCTAAATCTTTATATTAATTTCTACGTATTTACATTTTGGCATCAGAGACTGCTCTTCTTTCTGGTTTTTACTGTGGACAAACATATGCATATTAGGGGAAGAATGGCTCAAAAATTTACATTATGATATTAAGAATAAAGTCAACAAGAAACAAGTAATAAATGAAAAAAAAGTCTTTCATGCTTACATGCAATATGTAATGTATTCTTAAATATCTCATAGGCTATACTGCAGGTCAAAACTGATAAATTACATTCTTACATTCTAGTCAGTATTAAAATTTGGAGGATGTTTTTGCAAGTGCTCAAGTACAGCTTTTTTTTTTTCTCCTTCCCCCACCCCCCCCCACCCCCTTGTTTTATTTTGGGAAAAAAATTAGATTAGGAGGGAAACAATCTAGGACAAAATAGATTGTTTGCAGGGTTGCTGCATGTCCGGTAGAGGGAGTATGTTAATGCAGCACGTTCAGAAAAGTGAATTGGTGTCTTCCTGATTGCTGTGGAAAAAGGAGTTATCTTTTCAAATTAAATGCATGAGGAAAAATCTAAAAATGGATACTGGATTTTTGACAATTTTGTGCTTATGAAAATTTTGAAAATATTCCATAGTAAGTTATTGCACTCTCCACTTTGAAATGCTTGTGTTCTTATAAATACTCTTTTGACTAAAAATGAAATCTAAAGTACAAATCTAAACATACCGGTTGGGTTGTTCCTTCATCTCTTTCAATGTGGAAAAACATTGTACTAAAACCTCATTTCCAGTTTAATGAGAACTATAAACTACAACAGTAAACAGGATGAGTTATGCTGAAAATAGAGCTGTTAGGCAAGAATTTCTCAAGGAAAATAGGGCTGAACTGAGTTAAAGCATCCACTGATGATACTGGCAAACGAAAATGTAAGTCTATTCGATAAAATGTACCAATGAGAGAAGGTTGGTAGACATCACAGATACAGTGAAAGGTCTGAGCTTCTTGTAGAAAGAATCAGATTATCTTGATCACTGGAGTATATCTGGGAATAGGATGAATATAATATAAAATCCAAGCTCATGAACTGGAGAACTAGGGCCCTGCATCCTCAAATATGTCTGGACGTCAAAGTAGAAGTTAAGCACCAAATACCGTGCAAGTTTTGGGGACAAATAATATAATCTGCGTTAAGCTGGGGACTCACAAGCTTCATCAAGGAGGAGGACTTAGACATGTTAGGCAGTTGCCGGATGGTGACAACAGCAGAGCTTGACGAGTAACTTTTTGGCAGCAGTGGCAGATGGTGTACAGTGCTTTCCTTCCTCCCAGGTATTTTTTTGCCAACATGAGCATTTGTGTGTTGTGTTAGAAACTAGATCAGAGAGATAATCCAGCTCACAAGTAACAATTTTAAAACTTTTTTTTTCTTGCCTTTTCGGAATTTATTGTTTGTCATTATCGGTTCTCTGATTGGGTTCTTCATGTAGCTGCAAAAATGCAAGTGCTGGCTCAGCACAGGCATTAGGGGACAGCAGAAGGACAAAAATGAGCAGCTAGAATTGGAAGAGTGATAACCTATGCAGTATTGCCTCTGTGCATCTGACCATGGCTTGCCATCCGTTCATAAGATGCATCCGGGAAAGTATTTGTGGTGGAAAGAGAGAAGTATTGATGCCATTTTATAGGTCTGGTTTACAGGTCTGTAATTTGGAATACTGGTACAGGCTTCCTGTTGCTCACATTCAGGAAAGATGACAGTGAATGGAAAAAAGATACAGAAAGGGCCACAAAAGTTTAGGAGATCAAGAGCCTTTTATGAGAGGAGACTGGAAAGGCTTGGGTTGTGATTAGTCTAGTGAAAGAACGGTGGAGAAGAAATGCTTTACTGTCTGTGAATAAACAGGGATAAATACAAGGAGGGAGAGCCTATATTTAGCTGAAAAACAGCTTTGGCAGAACAAATTGCTATGAAGTGAAAAGGATGCATTTAACGTGGAAATTCCAAGAAGATTCATAATTAGCTGAGAGAGGTCCTGCAACAATTTTCCATTAGGATTGTGAGGGCAAGAAACCTGGCTGCTTTAAGATTGAACTTGAAAATCAACAAATGAAATTATATATAAGCAGTTGTATGTTGAACTAGGAGTTCCTAATTCTCCCAGTTTCATGTTCCACTACTAGGATGCAGTTAACCCCTTTGCAGTTTATAAAACCTGAAATCTTGGCTCTGTTTACATCAGTAATAAAACTGTTGCTGGTTGTAGCAGAGCTAGGATTTCTCTTGGGGCCCTAGAGCGTATGAATAGTTTTAGGAGTGATGTGTGTGTTGAGAGCATTCCCAGTGATTTCCACATCAGCCTGCTAGGTCCCAAGGGCAGCAGAAACAGGGTATTCCCATTATGAAAGAGGGAAATGGAAAGCCCAGAGTTGTTCTGTATAAAATAGATCCAATCTCTACACCAGGTTTTACTGCAGGAGTGTTACACAAAGGGCTGGTGCTCGGTCGAGGGCACAGCTGAGAACAGGCTGGGAACTCTGTGAAAAAAGGTATGGTAAGGTGAGTGATATTAATTGTAGTGCATGATGATAACACCCTTTGCTTTCCTTCAGGCTGCAAAAAAAGAAGATTTTTGATTCTTCAACCTCTAGCTGGCCATAAATTATATTAGTCTTCCTATAGGGAATTTCGGCTGATGGATTTTTACCATTCTCCAATCTAGGGCACTTGAAAATGCTTTTAAAATCTCTGGAAAACCCATCATTTAATTTTAATTAATTTTTATTTCTGCATCTTAACTTGATGTACAACTGAGAAATGTATTTTAAAATTATTAAAGAAACACACATTTTATTATCTTGAATTTCTATGGCATTTCAAAACTGCTTAAGGACCTATTCATTCTAAAAATAGTTCCTTTGTTTTAGACCAGGTTATCGAAAATCCTTATGATCAAGAAGGAACACATCAAACAATTGAGAGAGATGAATACAGAAGCAGAAAAGCTGGTGAGAATGTTCTCTTTTCAGTTCTTAAAACAGGATATGCTTTAACAGCTAATGCAAATAGATACAATTAAAACTAGAGTCTAGATAAAATAATATTTTATCGCTTTCTACAATGTGAAATTTTTTGATTTTTTTTTTTTTTTAAAGACAAGTCAGAGAGGTCAGTTTTTTCAAATACGATTCTCCTTTGAAAGCATTATGCTTTGGAATCTGATTAATGTTAACATCAGAATAGCGTATGTCAGTTGACATGTAAAGTAAGGAAATACTATTTACTTTAAGAATCTTGGTTACAAGTTTATATGGTAAGACATTCATCATTATTTTGAGGATGGTAGGTACTTACTTATTTAGCTTTCTGGCTAAAACAATAACTCAGTTCAGAGATTTTCTATATAAAGCTCTGAGTGCCCTTGACTGGCATTTAAAATTACAATACCAGAGCAGCTACAGCATAATTAGCAGCAGCAGAATAGTTTTTCTTGCTAGGCTTTATCTAATCATCAGTCAGTAAATCAAAATGATAAGAATGCCTCTTCTACCACCCATGGCTATCAATCAACTTGAAAGTGGAAAGCTATCAGTCTCAACCTTCTGCTAGCGTCCATTCAGACAGTTGTCTCTACAATATACAGACAGAAGGCTAAAGATTTGTGGAGAGGAAGAGGAGTCCTTTTTATTTCTTGAAACCAAAAATGCTGATTTTTTTTCGTGTAAAATATTTGAATGTTGAAGGATTTGATTTATTGTGGTAAGACTTTCATCTTTGTCCCTTCAGTGATCATGTGCACATGTACGTTCTGTTATTCTGCTTCCTACTGCCCCATCCCTATGTCTCTGTAATTTTCTTCTTTTGTGCTGTGACGCTGCTCTTCAAAACCATGTTATCATTTCAGTTACTACGTTATTTTTTCCTGTGCATCAAATGTTGTCTTTTAATTTTGCATATTAATAATTAAAATAGATGCAAAAAGAAGCAAGATTAAAACATACCATTGCAACCTGTAACTCTGATACTGAAAAATTATCAACTCTTCTTAAAAGAAACTAAAAAACTTTTTGTTTTTACTGAGATATTAGTACTTTTGCATAGATAAGGAAATCCATAGGAATGACAGTAGCCTTCCTCTGACAAGAATCCAGATATTAACGTGTCACTCAGCTACTAAGTCATAAATTAACTGTGTTGTGGAATAAGAATATCAAGGAAAACAGCAAGATTGAGAGAGCAAAGAAGCAACAGGGAAGAAGGGGATCTAGAAATAAATGTTAAATTTGATATATTTTAGCTCAGTTGTAGCCTAGATAAGGACTTCGAGATACTTTTGAAATTATTCCCTTGCAGTGTTGCCTTTGTAAACCAGCCATCATAAAGCAACCTCTGTTACTATTCAAGGCTGACCTGATAAAAATAGAGGACGTGATACCTTTTTATTGGGCCGTACTCTTAGCCTATCTTCTAATCCTCTTTGTCCCTTGGCAATCCCATCTACGTTTGTGCCGCTGAGTATATGTTGTTTCTCCTTTAAAATGTATTTTCTTGAACAAGAATCTTTTTCCAGCACCAATCCACTTAAACATCAATAACATACGTGAACATGAATAAAATAGAATCCTTTGAGTTCATTCAGGTATAGTTTAATTGTCAGGCTTTGATAATAATTCATAAAATTGTGATTTGATAATTGTTAGAGTAACAATTTTTTTTAATGAGACTTTTTTTTTAATGACTGATCCAATAGAGAAATAAACAGAAATGACCAAAATCAGAACTGGTACTGAATGTAGTCCATCATGTTCTGGCAATAATTATAAATTTACATGAGGCAGGGGATGCCTTCAGAGGAGGTATTTAATACATACAACTGCACATTTTCTATTTCATTTTTCTGAAAGGACAGCTTATTAATAGTTAAGCATCTTGACATCACTATACTAGTCTTGGTTGCAGGCTATAAACAAGTTACCATGTACATAAAACAGTAAACACTTTTCTGATAGCCATTTGGATAAACAAATCTAAATTAAAAGGATGGCTAGTTGATTTTTTCACTTGACCTGTGATAAAGACAAGGTAAAGATGATGCTGGTCATTCCAGAGAAGCACGTAGATGCTCAGTGATAGAGATGTAATCTGCTTCCATCTACTGAAAGCCATCCATCTTTTGTCTGCCAGTTCAGCTGTTCGTCAGTGTTTCCAGATCTTGGATTGCTCCCGGATCAGAAATAGTGCTGGTGCTGAGACATATTTCTTTCATCGTCACTAGCATAGAATGCCCTTAGCCTTTCCTCTCTGATGGGGAATTCACAACTGTCTGCGGCTTTCACAGCTAACCTGGATTAGTCTGCTCTAAAGGGGCTGGTCACTGAAGAAGGTCTGAAAGTTACAATTTTTTCCTTAGATTCCAGAGCTGCAGGAAGTATGTCAAATTTATACTGGTTTCCAGTTTGCTCTTAGGTGAATTCTGAAGTTACAGTGTTAGTTTAAAGCCCTATTAATTTGGTATTCAGACTTGTAAGTCCCTGGAGATCATGTCAGTGATTAATGGGGAACTTTGAACTGAACTGATAACTGAAACCTTGATTTTGAGGTTTTTGACCTGGATCCTCCTGATGAAGGCTCCTGACTTTGCAATTTGCTTTATCTCGTGGTGTAAAATCTATAGCTACAGGTTTGATTGTATGAGGTACCTGTATCTCAGACTTGTGGCTGAGAAGCAGTGGAAATACATCCAGCTTATCTTGCAAGAGGCCGTTTGTGGAGGAAATTTTATAATATATTGTATGTTTTGTTTCAGTTTTGTAAATATCACCCAAACAGTGTTGAAACACATTCTGAAAACAGTATAAGAAAGAAGTACTGTATTGTGGTATTTATTTTTTGTGGAAAATTGTGCTTACCCAAAATACTTATGTTACTAAGTATAAGCTCTAGTAACTTTCTTTTTTGGCAGAACTGTTAGCTGTAGCAGAAGGTACGTAGCACTGAGTCATCCTCAAGTGACCACTAACTTAGTAGACAACTGTGCCTCCCTTCCTGCAGCAGAGGTGGTCGTGGCCATATTGTCCTATACTGTTCTCCTACTGACTGGATAGTTTTCTGTTCATACGGTAGAGAGAAGCCATACCCAACTACTGGAGAAATAAGCAGGTTAGACCACAGTCGTCTTCTGTAGTATTTAGCACCGCAGATTATCATAGCACTTCATGAAGAGAATAAAAGCATAGTAGTTAGTACACAGTTGTCACTTGGAGTTTTAAATAGTGATACTACATTTTAGTATTTTGTATGTTAACGTTTTTCTATTAAACACTGGGATTTCAAACATCTCAGTATTATTTTCAAGTGAAAATTCCTTTGGATGCGTTTAAAAAATATAAATGTACAGTATTGCATTAACTTTAATATGCTTTGTCTTTTCCACAGAAATCCTATTCTATGCCAATAGGCATTGAGTTTCAGAGGAGATACGCAACTATTGTTCTAGATCTAGAACAACTAAACAAAGACTTAAATAAAGTTTTGCATAAAGTTCAACAGTATTGTTATGAGGTAAGATTTTGCTGGAATCTGTATGTACTTGTTGGTTTTGCTTAACCTAAGTACAAAAATAAATTAGAATTTCCTTGGAATAGGGTATAAGTGGGGGTCACTTTGAAGTGAAACTAGTAGTACAGCTGTATTGGATTCCTCCTCTCTCTCTTGTCTCTGTCTTTGTCTGTCTGTCTCCGTTTCTTTTACCAGAACGCAGACACTTTTGCTGATGCCAGTGGCCAGTTTTGAAATAGACACACGTGTACATAAATGAAGAAAAAATACTGTGTACTATATACCTGTGAACTCTCTTTGAAATCATTTGTCATTTCACACATATGCCAAATGCAGAGGAGATCTTTATTCTTAATTTCTCGTCATTATATCTATGCAGCTTGCTCCTGACCAAGGCCTCCAGCCTGCCGACCAACCGACAGATCTGAGGCGTAGGTGTGAAGAGGAGGCGCAGGAGATCGTCAGACAAGCAAATTCCTCAACAACAGGACAGCTTTGTGTTGAGAGTGAAAATTTAACTGATCTTATCTCTAGGCTTACAGCAATATTACTGCAAATCAAGGTAAAATGTTTGCAAAAAATAATTTCTCCCGTAAAATACATAGTATTAAAGCTCTGTCAGTTTCTTTGTGCTGAACTGTGAGAACATTTTTTGTTTTCTTCTCCTACAGTGTCTAGCAGAAGGAGGTGATCTGAATTCCTTTGAATTTAAATCACTAACAGATTCATTAAATGACATTAAGAATTCAATAGACTCTTCAAATATCAGGTATTACTTTTTGAATATTTAATTCTTAATTACACATTTTGTGCCAGCAAGCAGTTCTTACTGTATTTTAGAGGTGAACATTGACTATAATTAAGGGTTTTAACCTGGTAACTTTTACTTATAGGAATAGTCCCATTTAAAAGGGGGCTTCTTAAAGGGAGTGTGAAATTAGCAGTTTTCTCTTTGAACCTATCAGTGAGGTAACCCGATGTAAAAAAAAAAAAAAAAGAAGAAAAAAAGTGCTAAATTTATGCAGCAACAACTAGACTTTCTTGCTCTTCAGTCATTTATGACAACTAATAAGTTATTTTAGAACATTTTCAGACTTTGAAATCCCAGTAGTAAATATATTATAAATTCTTTAAACCACAGAACAGTACAATTTCAGTATTCTTTTTGCATAGTTACTCAACCTCTTGTCTGTAAATATCAAAAGCTGACATATGAGACAATTATAGATTCTGACCAGCTTCCATTAGCAATATTTTAAACCAAGAAACAAAACAACAGCCATATTGCGCCAGATCAAAGGCCCATCTAGTCTAGATGGGCCATTTTTCAACAGTTGTCACAAGCAGGTGCCTGAGGAAGCATTATAAAAATAGCAAGAATGTGGTGATGCTTGTCTGGAGTACACTGCAGCCTCCAGCAATTTGTGACCGGGATTTTTTTATAATTATAATGCTGCTAAATTACATAATTTAGAAAATATACCTAAATTCTAAGTATTTCCTTATACCCTCCATACTCATATTGCTACATAATAATGGGAGGCTGCACACATTAATTTCTTTTTTTTTTTATTCCCAAAGATAGTAGGATGGCCTTTTGATTTAAAAATAATTATGCGAAATGCTGTTTTTACAGCATTTTTCATCAGTGAAAACAAAAATAAACCCCAAACATTAGTGAAACTTCTCTATAATCAACGCTGCAAATTGCACGTTGGAATGGATTCAACTAAAGGTTGATGTACGCTGTGAAGAAAGTGATGCTTTTCCATTTCACTGTACTTGTTTTGGGCATTTTCGCATCTCTTCATAATATTTTTATTTCATTAACTCTGGTCATGGTAAAGTCTTCTTTAAAGTACCCAAGTCAGTAAATCTTGATTTCATGCAGCTGTTTGTGCAAATGCTGTTTTCACATATGTCTCTATCAAGTTACATTAGTATGTACTACCCTCTGACTCATCTGAATTTTTGCATTGGCTATATTCATACCTTGACTTTCACTGTAGAAATATTCAGACACAACTCTTAAATATGGGGTTTAACACTTTTTTTTTTCCTCCTTCTTTTCTTCCTGTAGTTGTTTTCAGAATAACGTCGAGATCCATGTTGCACATATTCAGAGTGGTCTGAGCCAGATGGGAAATTTACATGCTTTTGCAGCTAATAACACCAACAGAGACTGAAAATTTTCTTTCAAGTGTACAGCAAGTAGTTCTGGAAAATCCTCTTCCTTTATATAGGCTTCACCAAATATCCTAACTGCCAGAAGATAAGGGAAAAGAAAACCTCTCAGAGTGGACCCTTTTAAATATATTATATCTGCTTCTTAAGAAAACCAGCATTACTGGCCAGCGTTACATTAGATTTCTCCATTTGTTATTCACATACAGTAGTTTTGCTAACTGGTAATCTCTTAGTAATTGCATTTATTATAATAAACTTGAAAACATACTTTCATATAATTTGAACTTAGTTTTTTAAAATTCAGATGAATTCTGCACACCTCTTGCTGTTGGCTCTCCTGGTATGTTAGAAGCGATGAAGAGGAAATGGCTCAAATTGGTAGCCACATGGCAGGTCTTTGTTATGTAAAGCTACGAGAGTTGCCATTTCAGCCTTCAGGTAGCGTGGTGCCAAGGCAGGCTGAGTGGTCCTGCTCTAGAGAAGCAGCAGCAGGATACGGACAGCAAAGAGAAGCTGTAAACTTGAGGATGTTGGGCAGGTCTATCGATCAGTCAATGTCTTGTTGGAACTTTTAATTTATCATAACTTATAGAAGGAGTCTAATGAAGGAATATAAAAATGTAGCTGGTAACTTTCCAGAAAGAGATTGGTTATGGCTTTTTCCCTTCACGTGGGGCAAAAGAAGTGCTTTAGTTGGGATTTTATATAAATGACTGGTTAAACATATTGTTTTTCCAAATTTTTGTTGTTTTTGCACAACTTTTAAATTAGATTACTGGTTATCCAACAACACCCAACGTATATAAATATGAAGATTTTCATAATTAAAGATAACCAGTGCGGTAAACTGCAAAAATAAAAAGTGACAACCTGCCTACGAGTACCTTTTGGAATGTTAATCTTGTAAAAAGTGTGTATTGGTTTGTTTAAATAGTCTTGTAAAGCTTCTGTGTAATGAATTGTTTCCAGGTATGACTTTTCAGAGATAGCTGTAGAGATGTTTTTGATTCTTTTAGATGCCTCATTAAATGAGGTCTTTTATATGTTAATGTACAAAGAATATGTAAACAGGATTATTTTCAATTTTAAAATTTTGTATAGTTTAAAGATGCTTCTGTATTCTGTGTTGGTATTGTGCCACTGCAAAACTTTAGTGCAGAGTTTATATTTAGCTAAACTTGTTCTGTTAATTAAGAGAAATGCATAAATCTTTTATTCTCAATGAAATTTGTAACTCTGAATAAATTGACCTATGAGAGTTGGTATATTTCACAAAAATGCAAACTTTTTTGCAGATGGTCTCACGTCATTTTTTTAAGAGAAGTTAATTTAATTGCTGAAAATGAAATGTTATGCGGACAAGGTGAGTAGCTGTTTTAAAAGGTATTTAGAAACTTTACAAGGGATATTACAAAATAATGCTGAACGCTAATTTTGCTGAGTTACCCATGGAAATTTACCTCTCCTAATGCAATAGAACATTGTAGTGGTCCCTGCAATTACTTTTGTGATTACGTTGCCCGTTATTTTGTGGTGTTACCATCTGTTTGGTAAAGAAGACAGAAAGGTCCTCTCCCACCACCCTTTTCATTTAAACAGAGAAAGGTGCCAAAGCCTAACTTCAGGCTCATAGGTTTAGTCTGACGGTAACTAACATGATCCACAGCTAACTCAGGAAAAAGGAACCGTCCCCTTGCTGTTTACTGACACCCCTATCCTTGTCATCCACTGCTCACAAAACCTGCTAGCGTGCCGGTTCAGGGAGCTGTGCTGCTGAAGAACACCGTTCTTGTCCAGTTTTCTGCCTAGGTAGCGCACTGAACTTGCGCACTGCCAAGGGCGATGGGCTAGTCCTTCCTAGCACAAGGAAACGGCAAAGACTGCCTTTTCCAGCAGCAGCTCGCTGGCTTACCGTGCGAACCTCTGTAATCCCTTGCTGCTCTGTCAGGGCTCTGCTTGCGTACTTACAAGCTAAGCGTATGCATGAATGCTTTTGTGGAATAGGGCTTCCCGACAGGAAACATCAGGCGGCCGCGGAGGCTGACTTTGCCCTGTTGATAGCAAGCACCCCAAACTGAGGCAGAGAGAAGTTGTAGACACTGGTAGGTACTGCTACCAAGAATGGCATTCAGCAGAGGATTTGGGAACCTGCTTTTCATGACAAACTCTTTTCTAACTGGATTCAGAATACACTGTAATAATCCTGATTCCGTAGGTATGATGCTTTTTAATGTGGATTCTTCAATGTGCTCTTTCTAACGTTTTGTGTTGAAGTGGGTTTTTTTAATCATTGCAAGGTAATGTAACATAATGTGAAGATACATAATTTGTGATAAAAGTATCATTTGGCCAACACACATAGGCAATGTGAATATACACGCTGCTTCTCTTCAAAAGGCTGCATTTCCCCTCAATTACCGATGTGTTGGGTCAGAGTTAATGTTGTTGAGTTTTGGTGAAATACAGTAACAAATATGACTTTCCGCTGAATGTGGCCTAAGTGTAGTAGAAATCTCAAGAACTCACTACAACTATTGTACTTAAGTCTGCAGGAGTAGAACAAGTTAGTTTGATTTCTTACAATCAGTAACTTGAATTCACTCTCCACCCCCAAGAAATTATTGTCTCATTTTCTGTCTCCTGCTGTAAGTACTTCTCTTCTAACGTAACAGCTCCTTAGGCACCCAAGTCCACTTGGGGCGGATGGCATCTGATTTTGGTTGGTTAGTTGGTTTTTGCTTCATGGTTTTTTTTCAAGGACAACTCTGGTTTTTGGAGGGAGAATATTAATTGGCAATCCTGCTATGCCACTTAGCCTGACAAGCTTGCCGTTCAGCTGTCCCAGGTCTTGCAACACAGGTATGTTACGGGGTGACACTGAGGGATTTTGTGCATTGGTAACCTTATTCTGTGGGGCATGACTCCTGATACAGTTTATTTCTGCCACAAGTACACAGGTCACTTTTTCTGTCCTTCCAAACCATCAGAGCCTCATGGCATTCAGGTGCTCTTCCCTCACTGGAGTCTTACCACTTGCTCTGCAAGGCTCTGAAGTACAGCTTTGTAGGCAGGAAGAATTGGCCTTATCCTCAAAATACATATACAGAATTATAGCTTTCCTTAATAAATTGACTGAATTACAGGAGAGGCTTCTGTTACTGCTAATTCTGGTGTTCTCGGAAGTGGTGTCAGTGCAGAGCCATTCAGCCCACTACCAATCATGGATCATGTAAAGAGCTTCCACATAGTATTCAAATTCAAAGCTAAAGCGCCTTTACAGTATTCACAAAATACTACTACTTTTCTTGTCTGAGCAAGACAATGATTTGAGCGTTTGGGTTTTGTATTACTTAGGCCATAAATGTGCATTTTCGTTGAGGGATCGGGGTGGTTGTTCAGAGCAGATCTAAAGCAAATACTGACAGAGACGGTTTAAGGCAGTTTTTGTAACCTGTCCTTCAGGCCCCTTAGGTCTCCCACTCACACCTGAACCGCAGCCGTGGCTCTCCGGGACCTGGGAAGAGAACCTGCAGCTGGGACACCTACCACCTCTGTTCTCTATCCCACGTCGGCCAAGGTAAGAAACCCTGTCCCTGCCCCAGGTACACACACAAGTAGAGCAAAAATGTAAACCTTTATTTTTTTCTTCTCTGTCAAACAATGCTGACAGACCAGCCCCACTCTTCTACTTTTGTAGGCCCAGCCCCCATCCCCAAAACACAGTGGATTTGGTTAGCTTTTCGGCTGAAGAAGGTTAAATAGAAAACATGCTAATGGAAATCTTTAAATACAGTATAAAAAGATGCCCCTAGCTGAGGGAGCTGACCCGTATCTTTCTTCAATAAATAGGTAAAAATCAGTTACTACCGGATAAAGTGCAACAGTCGCAGAGCAGGGGTGAGGTAGGGCGGTGTGTGGCTCTCCCCGCCCGGGCAGCGCACCCCCAGGACCGGGTTCGGGGGTGCAGTTCCCATCGGAGCCCGGGGGTGCAGTTTTAACC